GGCTGGATTTCCCCCGTCCGGCAGGTGGTGATCAGCACTCAGCAACCGCCGCTTCTGGCTGCAAAGGCTATCTGAAGTGACTCATAAATCTACCAGCAGCTGCACCTTACCGATTAATGAGGGTTACCTAAGCTATTTCAAGAGTTCTCAAAATTGTTATTGTTGGCCCAGTCTGTAGCACCTTCTTCTTATCTGGATTGAATTTACACCAGCTGTCAATCATCCAAGCCAAACTGACTCCTACTCTTACAAGCAGTGAGAAGAGGTCCATACCAGCTGCAAAGCAAATCAGCTTGGCACTATCAGCTGGAGGAAAGTACCTGTTGGATAAGGATGAGCAAATGCTCATGGCCATCCCCTGAGACCTCATTTCCAAAATCAGTCTTGACCACAAAGAACAGATCTGCCTAGCCTATGTCGGGCATTGCAGATTAGTCACCAACACCCACCCAGCGCTATCAAAGTTTGCTGACAGCCCTCACTTTATCAGCAGGGACAGAGTTCCTGTGGCCATTGCCAGGAGATGACAATTTACTAATCTGAACTGAGCTGTCTCTGAACCTCGTGAAGGTCTGACTCCAAAGCACCATCCAATGCAGATGAAAAGGCCAGTCTGTTGAAAAGATGACTTGACACGCTAGCGGATAAAATCCAGTGTACCAAAATACTAAGGAAAGAAATAATAAAAAGTGTAATCAAGGCTGTGCCACGGTTTTATGCAAATGCTAAGAGAGGTTTTAAGAATATGAGAAGTGCAGCCACATTAACTCCTGCCTAGGTCCTGCTTGGTTTTAAAGCTAAAACTTTAAAAGAGCAGCTTGGCTTTATTTTCATTGAGGTGAATAAGAGCTGTTACCTTGAAAGCCATGGGACTACTCTGAAAGAAACTCTGAAGGAAATTAGATAATGTTATCAAGAAGTTAGAAAGCCTAGGGAATGGAGAAAACATTAGCCATAAACAGGATTCATGCCAGAACTTCATTATAGGAAATAACAGAAAAGGTAGATAACTAACAGGTTTATTCAAAACATGTTTTGCAGCAGCAGAAGAATACATGACCTGGGTAATGAGCAGAACGGTATGTTTCTGTGGCACAGGCAGAGCTGAACAGATCTAACGGCGGCCTGGGAAACTACGGGGCCCTGGAATTTATTTGAGCACTTTGAAAGACACTGGGAACATCATCAAGAACAGGATGACAAAAGGGGAATGTGTAGAACTTGTGATCCAGTATGAAAACTGCAACAGATCTGTAACTGAGAAATTGCGTCAGAGAGAAAGGGAATGACAAAATGCATATAAACTAAAGGGTTGCTAGATGCATAACTTACCAAAGGGTTTATTATAACGTGGAGAATAAAGTGATTCTAGAAGTTATCTACATGAACTGCTGTTGAAAGCGAAAATAATGTTTGAGTGCCTTTTGTTAACATGGCTTCATCACGTGGCCCATTCACATTTTAAAAACACAAAGAGAGTACAAAACATGGACAGTAAGCAGTCCAAATGAGATATAAAGAGGAAACATTATTATATCAAATTATTCCAAAATATTCAAGTACCTGCGTCCATCCACACTGTAACTTTGTTTACATGGAAACGTTTTTTGGGAAAATAGCCACATGCATCTAACTGGTGGATATGCTGTAAAGTTAACTTCGAAGCAAAACTCTTCCTCACCAATTTCAAAATCTTCTTTAGAGTCAGTTATATTTATAAATCCCTTTTCTGGGGAAAAAAAAAAAATTATATTACAAAGGCTGGACTGCTTAATGAAGGAATTTTGACATCTGTATGTTTTTTATTTTGGTTATCACAAGCAAAAAAAAGCACCATGTTACATCACAAAAGGCATCCTGTTAATCAAAATAAGATAATGCTTCAAAATAGTATTGAAATGATGTCACTGTGTTCAGCTGCAGACAAATGATCTGAGCCTACTGAAGCTGCATATCTGGTCAAACCAGAGCCCTTCCAAAATGGTCCAACATTTCTCCCCCATCTGCCCTACAGAGCCACAGGACCAACACCACCATTATTTATTTGGTTTGTTTTAGGTGTGTGTTCCAGGTGTTAACAGCTGCATCTCCTGGCTTTCCTCTAACAGGGAACAAAGCCACGTGGCACAACCAGCATAATCAGATGTTGATAGTAGTTTTTTCTTCTTCCCTGAAACGAGCTGAAGATTTTGCAAATAAGTCCTTTAGCTGCTCCTTTATTTCTACATCTAAATTAGATATATTGGATGCAAGACAACTGCAGCATGAAAAAGTGTTTTGAAGATGTGCGTAAACCACGAGCTGCTGGTACTTGCCCTGCTATGGTGGGATTAGTTTCACCTAATGGAGCTGTCTGAAGTTCAGTGACCCACCTAAGCTACTTGTCTGGACCTCTGATAAACTCAGTGGAATGAGACAGGCATGTCCAGATGTATCCCATCCTAAAATAGAAGATAACAAAGAGGTACTGAACTGCTTCTGGAAATATCTGTTTCTTGACACTGACTGCTGAAGGAACCAAAGTCATTGCTGGGGCTAGATGTCTCACGAAGTAAAATGAATCCCCCTCAAGGAGACTGAACAGCAGACACATGTGGGAGGAGGCTGTCCTAAAGGCATCAATGGGGCTAGGATCAGCTCTGTAAAAATAACAGAATCATATACATTGGAAGAGATCTCTGGAGATGTCTATCCAGCTCCTGCTCAGAGCAGGTCCAACTAGATGAGGTTGCTCAGGGCCATGTCCAGTTGAGTTTGGGTATCTCCGAGGAAGTAGACTCTACAACCTCTGGAAAACTTGTGCCAATGTTTAATCAGCCACATGGTGAAAAATTGCACTGTAGAAATATTGCTGGACTGGGTTTTTCCTTTTCAGTTTTTTTCTTCTGGTTGTAACCCTATATTCTGCTTGGCATGTTTTATCTCTGTCTAGCTTACTGGTTTAAAAAACACTATCTATCTGGAAACTCCCATATAAATCACAAAAATTTCAGTATTTTAAAACAAGAAGCAATTCCTTTCATGACTGTTCTCCTAATTTTTGATATTAAAGGCTTATTGGTTTTATAAATTGGACCTTCATCTTTTGAATGATCTTTTGGACCTCATCCTTCCAGTCAGAGGTCATCTTTGTGTGTACTGTTGACAACACAACCAGTCAAGAGTAAAGGCTTTCTCCAGAGTGCATACAAGGACCTTGAAGCACGGTATGCCATTTCTCTGGAAAACAACTCAGAAAAAGTAGTTTCTTTCTTGAAGGAGAAAGAAAATAGCACATTATTGCTTGGCTTATCGTTTTTTGGCAGGTTTAAGTGTATTTCTGCCAGAGAAACTGTGAACATGATTATTCAGTAATGACAGAGAGGCGAGATGAAATTCTTGAGACTGGCTTCAAAGCTTTCAAGTCTCTGTATTTATTGTATTTGTTTATTTGTTGCTTTAAACCTAACATGTGTTGCAAAATAGCATCAAGATTGCGTAGTGTTAAAAATTCTTTATTCAATGCTGGTAAAAATTGAGCATAAGAACTGCAGAAACAAAGAGCCTTGCAGCTGCAGTTGTTGGCATAATCTCTGTTGTGCTTTAAAGTGTCCCTACTACCCTGCCTGACCTGACCAGCTACACAAGATGGGACAAGTAGGTGAAGCGTCAATTAGCAAAGAGCAAACCAGAGCTGTCTGGCTGCAAGGTGTTACTAGAGATTAGAAGAGCACCCATCAATGTAGATATGCTAGCCAGGCTCCCCAGGCAATGCAGTATGTGACAACCAAATCAGTTTTCTCTTGGTTAAGTTACATCACGACCATTCCCAGTGTAGCTATGGATGCTGACTCATGCACAGTTTAAAGGTAGGACACTGATCATTTCAGAAACTGCTACCCTATGACACGGACAACCGAGTGAAATCTGCATCTATATCACTGCCGAAATTGCACCTGGGATGCTAGCACAAATTCACACCAACAATGGTTGTTGTTAATACATTAGGCTAAAGGCTGGGGTGGATCAGAAGCACAGGATGTCCCTGTGTAACCTTGGAGAGAGAAGCACGGCTGTTAGCTAGGTATGACAACATCCCCCCACTTTAATCCACCATGTAAATAAACAAACAGATTTTTTCATCAGCAAAGTCAATGAGCCCTCAGAAGTTTTGTTGGCATAAAGGGTATTAAGGAGGGTACAGACAATCATTGTAGCTTGGCATACCCCAAAAAATACCCCACTCAGAAATACAGTCTTCCAGGGACAATGACTCAAGTATTGAGTCCTGTTAACGTGACACATACTCACACCTGATAGTTTATGGATCCAGGAAGCCACTGTTTCTGAACCGGGCACCAGTACTGAGAAAGAAGAGGATCTTGCCCTACCTTTACACCCCTACCTTCCTATTTACTAAGGAAATGTGTGTAGAAAAAATGCCCGGGTATGGTACTCGGTTATTGTAAATGAATAAATTGTAAATAAACGTCCTGCTCAGTGGCAGGCAGAAGCTGAAAACAGGATTATTGCACTGGGAAAGTCATTTCTGAAGAGAGTGAAGTCTCCTACCATTCCTAGCCAAGGTGTTGTAAACTCTGAGAGCAACTACATCTAAGATCAAATGTGTGGTGAGTGCTTCAGAGAACATTGTTCTCAGGGCTACAGACTCCAGTCAGAAAACTACTCCCAGTGCCTACTCCAGCAGCATGGTCCTAACTACAGCTTTCCTTTTTATGACTTATTTCCAGACTTATGCCTATTTGTATGTTATTTCCATCTGAGAAACAAGGTTTGCAGTTGAGGCTGTTCTGGACTAACTTCAACACTGCTGGCTTTTAAATCAACATGTTGCTTAAATAGAATGAGGTTTCTGTTGGTATGCTTTCACTTTTTTAAATTTTCAGGCCTTGTGTAGCTTGGTGTTAGGAGGATGGCTCCCTTCAGTGCCTGGAAAGCAGGAGACTGGCAGAACAAACAATAACGCTGGAGTAGTTGTCTCTCTAGTTTCAGGTTTTCCTTCAGATCCATCACAGCTGCAGCAGCACTTCTGTATGGCAGTTTGCCAGCTCTGGCAGCACTCACTATTCATCATCTCTCTGGGCTTACATTCTCCATTAACACAAAAGTTTTAACTTCTTTTCTGCTACCAGTTCCACAAAAATTTTAACTTCTTTTCTGCTACCAGTTCCCATTAAAAATTTGGCAAACTCAAATGGCTACTTGTTAGTCACTCCCCCACCATAAGACAAAACGGTCATTTCTCATTTGTTCTGGGTTTTGAGTGGGAGAGCCCACCACCAAGAAGCTTCCAACTGTTCGATTCCTTCCTGGTGGACCCAGGTTAAGCCTGGTACAGATTTTCTATCTGCTTTTTTCTGTATAACAGCAACAAGCACCTGAAGGGACCATAAAAAACAGCAGAGCAGAGGCCACGAGAACCTCTGCCTTACCTCCCCACCTCTGAAGGTGCAGCAAAGGAGGGGTGGAGGTGCTGTTCGTGAGTGAAGGGAGATGGTGTGGGAGCAAGTGGTGAGGAGGTGGCTGAGGCCATGGCTGCAGCTTTTCAAAACCCATACTGGAGTCTGGACATTTCTGTCTCATATTAGTTGAAACCAGTCACTGGTCATTCCAGACTGTCCAAACTAATACACAGAGCATTAATAGCTGAACACGCAGGGCAGGTTACGCATTTTATATTCTCGGGCAGCTCCAGAACGGTGTTTCCTGCAGTGCTTTACCTCTAGTTTTTTGTATCTGCTTTACAGCTGCCCACATCCGAGTTCGTGGCACAGAGAAGGGCTACACAACTACACTACTCACCCCTACCCAGGAAGCCCAAAGCATAGCCCCCTGGGGACCCTATAGCTTTGTGTCCCCACAAAAAGCCACTATGGCTTCGCATCACACTGGCTGAGAGTCGCCTACGATAACATCAGATGAATCCCAGCCTGTGTTTCTAGAGATACCATTGAAACAATCAGGTAGACTAGACCCCTAAACAGTGCCATCTCATTGCACTTCTAAAAGTACTGTCTTTTAATGGGAATTATTTGAAAAGCAATATAAAGAAAAGGTTGATTATCTTCAGGTACCAGCATGACTCAGTTCAGATTAACCTCTTGGCTTTCCTGGACTGCCAGTAAGTGCAAAGAGAATTTTTCCTTAGAAAAGGAACTACAAAACATACGCTGCATACCCGCAAGCCAAGAACTGCTGCATGGAAAACAAAGCAAAACAACCAATGAAGGGACAAAATTAACACCGGGGTTTGGAATTACCTAAAACTGTAACCAAAGCAGTTTGATTCAGATGAACTGTAGAAGAACAGGTATAATGTCCACTATCGCTTCTTCCTGCCGCTGAAGCAAACGCATACTGGATCCGAATTGCTGAGTGATCTGTTTGATATTCTAATCCTTCAAACTGGCGATCCTAGTTTTCAACAGAGATTCCCATTTAATCAGTTGATAGTGCCCAATATTATCTATTTTAAAATATGTCCTGTCTTCTTACCTGCTCAACTTCTTTGTTTTCAAAAGATAATTTTATTCCAAATTTATAATTATGGTAAACAGCTCTGCATCTGATCAGCAATGGTTCCCCAACTTTAAGAAGTAATTCAGGTAAAGGTGCTGCTTGTCTTTCATTTAAATCTACAAAATCAAAACATTGTCACTGAAACAACACTGTCACTTTGCCTGGAAAAATGCTCATTTAGATCAACATTTGTTTTTCTAATGTTGCATAAACATCCATTATTATATTGTAATGATAATTAGAATTTGGGAAAATTACTGATTAATCATGAAATCAGTAAATTTGATGGATTTAGATGTCTCAAACCAAATTTTGTCATAATTTATACATTA